GTGATATTGACTAGTGGATATATCATATCATACCTAGTATGGTAGCGAACCGCAGCCTAACTTAGGTAGTTCGCCAGGCTAAACCGAGCTAGCACTTTACCAGCACTTGTACTCATGAATAGAGTGGAAGCTATACATGGCTTGCTGGTAAGGGTGTATTAGGGCAAATCTAGGAGATTGTTTTCTCATACGTATCTACTAGCCCTTTAGTATGATATGATACCTACGATATTGATCTACCCAATTGGAAGTGACGCTACGAAATTCGAGGGGCGTCCTAGGAAGCTTGCTAGTTTTTTCCCCCCTATTTCCACTTCTTTCCGGGGATTAGGGTTCACCTTTCTGTTTAATGGTAAAAACCTGCGAGGGTCTCTGGACAACAGGACTGATCATGCGTCCCGGGGGCTTTGGTTACGGCAATCCAGGTCAGAGAAATGGTGTTGAGATATTTGATAGCAACGACAACCAATAACCCCTACAGCCCGGGGAGGACTGAGCACCGTATTACCAGTATTTCCCGTTTTCGAGCAGATCTTCTGTGGGCCAGCTAACCAGGAGCTCTAAGTAGAAGAAAGAATTTGAAAGTGCGATTACCCTAAACTGCCAAACATAGCTGGACGGATTGGCCCCGGCACTCCTAGGCCACCCTTCCGGTCGCTCATGGCCAGCAACGTGCCAGGTGGTGCTGAGCCTTCCTAAGAACCGTCGCTTTTCTTGCGGGGCCGGGTGATAGGTACTGTTAGCATAGTATTGCTATGACCCCCGAGGACACGAATGCAACATATCCTTCCGCATAAATTCCCACGCCCCGCGGCGGTGGCAGTGTGGAATAGAGTTGAACCCTTGGCGCTACTGCTACGTGCATTGAAGCATTCGTAGGATAAAGCTTACAAGTAGTAGATGAGGGGATGTCATTCTCGAGTACCGGTAGATGGTTTTTTCCTCTACACCCCCGGGTAACCAATCAACTGGAATTAACTTACCTCCCGGTTACCGCACCGCGGGCGGCATTTGTTATGATGGCCGGAAACCAAGCGCTGGTGTAGTGCAGTAACCAAGCAAGAACTAAAGTCAGTAGACAGAGTACAGTACTGCACCGATAATACCGTACGAGTAAATTCCGGGCAAACCTGATGTGATTCTATTCCCTATTTCCTAGTTACTATCCCTAGAAAAGTGCACTTGCTACGGGATTAGGCCTTAAGGGAACCAGTGGCTACCTTGAGAGGTATAGCGGTGGGCTCAGTTCATCCAGGATTTGTGGTGTCATACTCTACTGTATAGTGCTCGAGGTACGATGGTATTGTACCCTGGACACAATTAATTGCATCATACTGATACTCTCGTATCATAATTCATGACATGTGTTCATCCAGAGGTATCATTCAAGGGCCTAGGTATTATTGACACGTCCACTAGTATCTCCCAGAGCTAGGGTACCAGGGGGCTACTAAACTCCTGCAGATATGCCACAGATTAACCTCGGAATTCCCAGCACTATGCAGTAGAACACTAGAGTCGGTATAGGTTACTGTGCTTCCATTGAAAACAGGGTACTATCATACGTAGCTGAAAGTGAGATGAATTATAAGACCCAAGCTATCAATAATGTTCCAACGCCATTTATGTATCATATAATTATGCTAGAGTAGTGACTGCAGAGTCATGCTAGCACAGATATTTATATAAATCCTGCTAGACATCAAATTCCGTTTTGAAACTTTCGAATAGTAGGGACTAGGAAACCTTCGCTTGCACGGATACAAGCAGAAGGTTAAAGTGCTCACCGTTCTATTGTTTACGAGTGAGACGGACAATGTTAGGGTCTATTCGGATAACTTGGTTGTACGGAATCCCAGTCTATGGATTCTTCCCCCCCGAGGGGACTCAACCACTGAGGGGAAGATCTCGGTTGCAATGACGACTTAAAGCCAAGCCCTGTTTTATAACAGAAGACTTAATCGGCGTGGTGTTGCGTTCCGGTCTTCTGAATCGATGACAAAATTACTTGTTATATGTGGGGGTGATTATTTTATGGGATTATTGCAGGGGTAAAAATCGATGGATTGCACAACCAAACGCCCCTTTTTTTCAACATCTATCGATTGGATGTCGCCTGGGCTTCTACGGTACCGTAGTCTACAAGTACTGTACGTACAGTACACTGCAACGGTGGTGATCGACGGAGAGATCCATGGACCAAGCAAGAGACTTCTTCCTAATTTAGCACACACCCTCACCACAATGTACAGTACGAGTAGATAGCCATAGCTGGCCTAGGTGCCTAAACCTTTTCATGGACGCCGGCTCGTAAATCATGACTAAGTGGTCGAATAAAGTACTCGTATACTAGGGGTGACATCTATGGTGCTGTGATACACTAAATTACCAGTTACCGGTATTGCCTGTCGGCAGTTCTCCAAAGACGGCCAACTTTCTCTATCGATATGATGGAGCGAGATATCAGCAACAGCACTTTGATATCTCATCTGGAAGCGCTGGATAAGCACTTATCCGGGTTGATGACAAGTCTGCCTTTTCTACTCCGCCCGCCCCATTTTTCTCCAAGGGCTCTCTTTTCTGGAACAAGCTCTGGGGCTACCAAGACCACTTTTCAGGTCTTTTTTCCGACAATAATATTTACTCAACTTCAAAGGTAATAGCTCCTAAGGTCCGATGATGCCGGACAGCACATCACAAATAACTGTTTTGGTCTAGAATTAAACAACCCCTTATCTGTTGGTGGGTAGTCGGGGCATGGTGCTGCGAGAGCATCTAGATCGAACTTGATCTAGGAAACACTCCGCTGGCACGCTACACGCCATGCTTCTTTAATATGGGGGTCGGCTCTACGTGGACTGCACATGGGCGTATCGTCAGGCGTATTCCACTGATTTCCCATGGCCCAATCCGGATCATAAGGAGGGGGCCCCCATCTGGCTTTGCGAGCACTGTATACCAACTGCTCTAGCACCTACTCATGATCTTCATTTTTTAGCAGCATAACTCTGGTCCGGTATTTAGATCCGCTGAGTTCTAGGCAAACCAACTCTACAAACTCTTGCAGTGCTGGGTATTGTCTGTAGTAATAATTGTGCCAGGTTTTCTGCCGGTAAGGCACCACCACTTCACACCGTTTCTTCCCAACGCATTCCTGGGCGAATAATTTCGAAAACTGGAGAAAATTTTCGTGGTCCAGCGTTAGACTATGGGGAAATACCGTGGCAGTTTGGTACTTGGATTCCCCGCGGTTCGTATCCATGATGCTGCATCTCCAGCTGGAGGGAAACAAGGAGGTGAAGGGACACGGTTATGGAACCTAGCTGTTCCACCGCCTTTCTCCTGCAATCAAGAAGGAACCTTAGGGTGGATGCGATAGGTCTGGAGTGGGTAAGTGTCCAGCTAGCTAAGCAATGGGCATATCCCATCTCATCAGGTTCACCCGCCAAAGAACTTTGGTTTCCTGTCTGAGGTGTCCTCCTATTACTAGGTCGGTACTGAACTCTAGTTGGATTCTATAGAGGAAGTGCTATTATGCGAAAGATTTTTTTTTCCCCTCAAAATTGGTCGCTGCTATGGGAAGGGTGCTAACTCATTGAGAATGTCAAAAGGGCCGAGCGTAACCATATCACTTCAAGAAATATTTGCCACATACGCCCACTTGACCGCATTGCGTCTTCGAATCAATAACTTGGCCCCCCCCAGAATTAGGCTGGTGCTTAGAATGTTATCAAGAGATGCGAGGGGAAATCATTCGTGAAGGATCATGGACTCCCAAAGACTTGCCTTCTCGAACTGTCCGGCAACTGCAACTTCGAGGGAGCTGCGTGGGATATCTTTCAACCACGGGTGGTACTGTGCTGTACAGCACAGCACCCTCTAGTTCATGGGATCCTATGTTCGACAGCCAGAGGCCGCCTCCTCATTCTGCACACATTTCTCTGGTATCTATGGACATTCGTGTCAATTCGGGCTACAGATTAACCTCCTCACCGACACATAAGCCGAAGGTTACATCCAGCAAATACTTCCCACCGATCGTGAAGAGAAATCATATTTAATTTTCCGGGGGTCTGCTGGAGAACTATGGTACATGCATGCCGACCCCGACCCCCGGGTTGTTACAATGGATTGCTATTGATGACCCCGAGGTTCGGATCAGAGATGACAATGCCTGACACAGGCAGTCAGGACCACCGACCGAATTCCGGAGAACCCTTCGGTCTGAGAGCGGTAGTTTACTACCGTGTTAGAATTCCTAATCGGAAAGAAAAGGAAAAAAAATGGTAACTTTAGTATGATACCTGGGATATCGAATCACCAATGATATTTATTATTTCGAAATGCACACTATCCCAAGTCTTAAATATAGCTTAATTTCAAGCTACAAGTACCACAGCCCAGTCTCCGCGTCCGGTTACTCGATGAACCTGCACGATTCCCCTATATTAACCCCCCCCCCCTCCTCCACTCCTTTATACACCCGTTTGTGCCCTTGTTCGGGGTGCTCGGCACCGAACAAGGCTGGACCAACGATCTTTCCCACAATAAAGTTGCGAATCTGGCGCATGTGGTGTCAGCATACGATGCCCCGCCTGTAGATGTTGGAATAGGAATCACCATTTTGTTGTGAGTTGCGCGATATCCGTAAAAAATCAGTTTGTGGTCTCATGATATGGTTTAATTGTTGGATTTTTGTCCAGGATTCACGTTTTTTTTACACTAGATGAGGGGTATCGCGGGGCGGCGAGTTAAGATCTAATACAGGCTTGGGTAGTAACTTTTTTTTTCATTTGCTATCACAACGGGCGCTGGGTCAGATATTTGAGATATGGTTCTTCGGAATTGTCGGAGGGTGTCCTTGAGAAATACATGCATAGGTAGCCTAGATCCTTCAAGTTTGGTACACCCACGGTTGTATCTTGTGAAGAGCCTCGTTGTTTACAGTGTTGGGAATAATAATGGGCGAGCGTTGTACTGTACGAGTACATCGTACGTTACGTGAAGAGGATTAAATGTACGGGAACGATATTACAAGAACGGAATTAGAAGATCAAATCAAACGTGCACACACGTGGGGCACATGAAGGTCCCATGCCATCCTAGATTAAGAGTATGAAAATACCAAACCTAAATCTTGATGCTCCCTGGATCTGCATTATCCTGCGATATTTCAGGCCCAACATCCCCCACTATTTCCATTATATCATCCCAAACCTTCCTCTGCAGATCTTTCGCTTCTTTGGTCTTGAAGATCTTTTTGGGTAAACTAATGCCCTGTCGGTTAGATTAAGCTCCTTACGTTTAACGGCCGGTGAACTACCTCTCGATCTTACAATTATTGATGTACTTGCCGTGACTGTCTGGCCCAGCATCAACGATCGAATGAAAATATGTACGTGCTCCCGTCTCTGTATTCCGCGCAAATAAAGCCTTCCAGAGACCTAAAAGGGGGAGATTGTATTCGCGCATCAAGTCGGAATGGCAAAAACCGGGAGTAACCTTCCATAAATTTAGCCAAGTCGGCATATCACAGGGAAAATCGACTCACACAATTGACTATTACCATAGGGCCTCCGTCGCTCGCTTCCGGTACGAGGGCTGCCAATTCGCGGGCAATGTAAATGTCTAGGAGTTTAGTCATGGAATACCGTCTGGGTGTCATCAAATCGCTTTTAAATTCAATTAGTACCGCACAAGCACTTGCATAAAAAAACCGCAAAAACAAGATTCGAGAGCCATAACATACCTCTCCCCCATCCCAAAACGATTCTCATCGTTCAATGCCTCTATGATATTCCCCTCAATCTTCATATATCTCTTAAATTCGGCAAATTGGTACATATGCGACGAGACAATTGTAATTGTTGGAATCGTTCCGCTACCAGCAACTTCCCTCCGCCGTTCAAGAGCCCGAGGCAGAAGCAACCTACCCAACAACGCCGTGCCAAGTACGTTCACCTGTAACGTCCGCTCCCATCCGTCCCCCGTTACATTCCAAATTTCGCTCGCGATACCCGCGCTGAGGACTATTCCGTCGACAGGTCCGACACTGGATGCGAAGTTCCGGATGGAATCGAAGGACTCCATATCCACTGTGGAAACCTGGATAATTCCGGGGGCGAGCCCGAGAAGAGCATCGATTTGAGCTTTTGCATTGAGACCCTTGTCTCTGGAGCGACAGCCAAGAACCACCGACGCCCCCTGACGGGCAAAGTGCTTTGCAGCTTCGAAGCCGAGGCCAGTGTTCGCACCAGTTATCAGTATCCTCCAACCATCGATCCGGGTTCGCGGGGTGGGAAGTGAAGAAAAAAAAGCGCAAGCTTTCTGGAAGATCGTTGACATGATTGTTGTGCGGGGAAAACAGCCCAGCCAGCGCACCATGAGGCTCATGCCTACTGGGGCTTGTGAGCTACCAGCGCTCGGATGCCAAATGGGGAACCCGGCTTCTGCTTCTCGTGACCGACAAGATGTCCTCGAGTACAGTACATGTCCTATGATCAAGCGGCCAAACGACAGCCCGATAGAATGCACAGTATCTACCGGATTTGAGCAGGCTCAAACAACGTTTAATAGCCCGACTGTTGTCCGTTGATTCGCGCTAGAACTGCCACTACCGCAGTCCAACCTCAAGACCCCAATGACTCCTCCCATACTGCCGGTAGTATGATACCCACGGCAAGAAAGTCGATTCAAGGGGAGCCATGCGACAGCGGCTCAGGTGCATACTGTCAGCGCGAGTGACCGTACATGACCTCTTCCCCCCAACCCTGGAGCAAAAAAAAGTCTTTTTCGGTTTCGTATCGCACCATCCCACCAAGAATGCAAAGGTTGGGAACTACGCCTTTGGGAAAGGCTCCTCTGATCGAGCTAGATCGAGGGGCTGAAGTCAGTGTGCACTTCTACCTCAATTGCCTGCGATCGCGAATATTTACGGGGTTTCCCAAAGGACTCAACTTGCTAGCGCTCCTAAAATTTACCCCTCTGTCCCCCAAGCATACCCTTTAGATAAATGATCGAATCTCTAATCGAGAACCAGGAACTACCGAAAGTCCCCAAATAGTGCGAATCCTGGTATGGGAAATCTCAAGATAATTCAAAGAGAGTGTTTACCCGCCAAGATCAAATATCGTCAACCATTCAAGCCCGGTTGTTTTAGCTGCTGAAGCAATTAAATGATGTTTTGAAAGCCCCGTGACGAGGTCCATTTTCCATTTTGCTTTTATGGCATCACAGCGAACGGCTTGTCTGGTCACACATCAGTCAATGATCGCCAACGAAAATCTTGGAGGATGGTCTAAACCCGTGGGCTGGCCTAGCGCTCAAGCCATTGGCACATCCCGCCCCGGGATGATGTCCTTGAGTACAAGTAGAGCGACAGCACTCTTATCATTGTGCCAAGCTTCTCTTCCGCTATTTCCCTGACCCCGCTTTTCACCTTCCTGTTTTGGAAGGTGGTGGCGGTTGTCAACACCATGCACTTCCACCTCGCGGTCCCCTCTCTGGGCTGAACTTTGGAAGCTTCATAAGCCTGGACACCAAACCTCATCATGAGGCTAAACAAGATTTTCACCCCTTCTGTTGTTGGACTTTGGTCCCTCTGCCAGATTGTAGTTCCTGTCCTCCCCCTCCCTCCATCGTGGCCATCTCGGCTAAGCTGTGTGAGGTTGTGAATACTCCTCCGCCCCTCTGGGTTCTTTTACTCGGTCGGGTTTGCTTCTTTACCAATGTCTGTATCACTTGGCAATGCGTGGTTGGTATTGCACTACCTCCAGTCATATCCCCATCCAACCAGCCATAAACAATTACTCCACAGGAGGCCGACACATCCAGGTTGGTTGCCTTCATTACACGAAAAGAATGCATTATGGTTCTCCCCTATTTTCCTAGCTGCTAGCCAAGGCTGGACCGGTTGAAAATTGGGGAATATGGTTTATCAAGGTGGTTTCCTTTGTTGGGTTTCCTTTGGGTTTCCTTTCTCAAGAGAATACAGTATGGGTTTTCTTGTTAGCTCCTGCCAGTCCTGTTTTGTGCTTTTTTTGTTTTGTGCAGAAGGAGCTTTCATGGGGGCGGACGGGCGGTTGGTCCCATACCAGAGGGACTTGTGCTGGCTTGTTTTCACCTAGGCCTGTGGAGGAGGTTTTTGACCAGCATGTCTAAGGACTAAATTGGAGGTGTGGGGCGGTTATTGCAGAGGTGCCCTTGTATCTACGATCCATGCTTTAGCCAGGCTGTGCTCTTATAGTAGAGGTTTGCACCTTTAAGCAAATAGATTCTAGGATTTAACAAAAAAAACTCTTATCACTGTGCTTGCGCGGTACTGTATGCGCCGAGAATTTAAATTCATACCAGCGGGGCGGAGCGGGATAGCCTTAGGGTAGCAATACGCTATTCTATCATGTATCCATGTATCCAGCGGCATTCCCGGATAAAGTAGAGCGGATGAACTGGCAATGATCCTTATCAAACAAGGCGTGAGGGCCCGACTTCTGGTCAAGTGGCAGACTTGGTCGGTTTCATACAAACACACAGACACTTCTTTACAACCTCAATACCGGTCAAAAAGCACGATTCAATTTCTGGATGTGTGAGAGCTCCTTGCGATACGCCGATAACTCAAGTACTCTCCCGTACACGTGTCTATCATTGTACTTGCACGCGTCCATGCCGGTACTGTACCATGCCGCCCTCTCCGCAATCAAACCAATGTACGGATGATCGCTGCGCACGGTTTAATATAGGTACAGTATGAGTATGAGTACGAGTACAGGTAGAGCGCAGGTTACAGGGTCAACCAAGCGGGGAATGCGTTAGAAAGGTTGATCCCAGCAGACATCCTTTGCGTTGTTAGCAGCGCCACAACATAAGCTCGGGAAGAAGTAGTAAGGTATCATACTGGGGTATGATACTTCCCCCTGGATGGCTGGGTCATATCATAACTAGGAAATGCGCCCAGTCATTCCGTCCACCACCACTAGTTCCTACATATGGGTCATTACCCCTCTGCTCTTCTTGAGGGTACATGCCTGCAATACATAGTAGTGTCTTAGAGGATATATATGATACCGTACCATTTAATAAGGGTCGGATCGGCATTGGTGGGGGTCTGCCCAACCACCTCTCGGTATTTGCTTAGGGTGTGGCGGTTCGGGAGTCTACCTGCCAGCTTGTGGCTCGGCCGTCCCTAATTCCGATCCGACTTTTACGAAATGATATGGTATATACTTAGTGCATATAAAGTGGTTTTAGTGCGAGCAGTATAGCTAACGTCCTCACAGATTCCCTCCACAAGCATGAGTTCCCGAGCGGCAAAAAGCATGTTCGAGAGGGGGCGGTGGGCCGAAGAAAGAGTAGGCGGAAGGCCACTGACACGTCTGAAGCTGAAGCAAGTTAGGTCGGGCGAACCTCAATGCAATGGTGTAGACTCCTCCGGACCTCGAGGGAGTTGGAAATGATTTGCTCCTTTTGCACGAGTAGACTAACTGGCCCGAGATCTTTAGCTAAACACACCGCTCCTGGAAATGCGGGTATGATATTTCGACCAAGTCCGAGGCATCATTTCTGAGTGCCGAAACACGACCCTTCCACCTTGATAACACTACAGTACCCCGAACCCTGGGTTAGACTAAATTTACCGCACTCGAGAACTGCAGTGCCAAAGTGGCTTACCTAATTCCCCGCAAACACTGCCAAGAATGCCAGATACCCACACAATACTCAAGCACGCCTTCGGCTAAAACATCAAGGCTCCAGAGCACCATTCATGCTCCTCAACCGAGACTCAAGTCTTCCCCCTGCCGCCAATCACAACCAGCCACTGCTGACAACTGCCGACAACTGCCGCTCGTACAGACTTTAATTTTCGCGATGATAGACGCAAAGGAAGGTAACAGCCTCCTGGACCCCTCTCCAGACAGCAATTGCTAACAGTCTCCAAGTTGCAAAGCACAACACCTCCTCAAGTTGCTGGGTAATAATTCACAACACAGTTTATGACGTAACCGACTTCCTCTCCGCTCACCCGGGCGGTGCGAAGGCCATCCTATCCCTCGCCGGACAAGACGCAACGGAAGAATACGACCCCATACACCCCCCCGGCACTCTCGAGGAGTCCTTGGAGAAGTCTCAAATCCTTGGACCCGTCGACCCGTCCACCATCATAACCATCACACCCACGCCATCGCTAAGCTCCTCACCTTCTGAGAAAGACAAGGCCAGGGATGGCATCCCACCCTTAGCAGAGCAATTAAATCTCGATGACTTCGCCATCACAGCTGAGAAGGTGCTCTCGCCGAAAGCGTGGGCGTACTACTTTTCCGCTAGCGACGACCAGTTGACGAAGAGGCACAACAACACAGCATACCAGCAGATCCTCCTCCGCCCGCGAATATTCAAGGACGTCCGCAATGTGGATACCCGAACAACGATGTGCTCCTCCTCGGTCGCCTTTCCGGTTTTCGTTGCGCCCGCGGCAATGGCGAGACTAGCGCACCCGTCCGGCGAAGCCGGCATCGCGGAAGCGTGCGGTAGAGAGGGAGTGCTGCAGTGCGTTAGTACTAACGCAAGTTTGAAGCCCGAACAAGTCATGGCTGGTCGAGTGAGCGACAAGCAACCTTCTTGGTTCCAATTGTACGTTCAAGAAGACCGAAGGAAGAGCGAGGCATTGCTGAAGAGGGTGGGTACGTTGGGCTTCACGGCTGTGGTGTTAACGCTTGACGCGCCCACCCCAGGAAAGAGGGAGGCAGACGAAAGGGCCAAGAACGCTGGGAACATAACAAGCGCTACGTTCGGCGAGAGCATGCAGGGGAAAAGCGAAAGTGGAGGACTCGGAAAGGCACTCTTCGCGGGTACTACGCCGTCGTTGACATGGGAAGATCTAGAGTGGCTAAGGAAACATACTAGATTGCCGATAATCCTGAAGGGTTTGCAGACGCATGAGGATGCTGCTATGGCTGCGAGGAAGGAGGTTCTCGAGCTTGGTGTTACTGGGATAATATTATCTAATCATGGTGGACGGGCGGCAGACACTGCTCCTCCCCCCGTGTATGTGCTCATGGAGATTCGGAAGTATGCTCCCGAAGTATTCGATAAGCTTGAGGTGTATGTTGACGGTGGGATTCGCCGTGGGACGGATGTTGTCAAGGCACTCTGTTTGGGTGCTAAGGCCGTTGGGATTGGCCGGCCAGCGTTGTTTGGGTTGAGTGGCTACGGTGTTGATGGGGTTCGCCGGGTATTGGCTATACTCCGAGAGGAGATTGAGACCACTATGAGGCTACTTGGGGTCTACTCTGTGGGGGAGTTGGGATCGAGACACGTAAGTGATCCGTCGTTATACTTTCCGGGGAGTAGTGCTAACTGGTGATGGTGGTGATTGCAGATCAATACTCGAGCATTGGACGGGCTGATTTACCAGGAGCCGCAAGAGCTATCGGGCGGAGTAATCAAGGCGAAGTTATAGCCTGTAGACTCTTTTCTTGGCCGAGCTCTGGGGGGGGGGATAGGTGGAGTCAGTCTCATAGCATTAAATTACTGCATGTAGAATAGACATCCGAGCAGAAATTTCGAGAACACTATATTTATAGATGCTTTACAATAAATTTGCACGTCTTTGTAGAGATTTATCAATTGCGAAACAAAAAACCCCGAATTCCTCAGGTGAGGAAAATCGCAAGTCCCCAAATCCTGAGCCTCAACTCTAAATTTAGAACTCTGCCACGTGCTGCGGATCTTAGCTGGGGTTAATTTACCATACCAGTAATATTATTATCATAATATTATCATAATACAGTACAGTCGCACCCCGCTATCCCGGATGGTCAGATTTCACAGAATTCGTCCGGGACAACGGGGAAGGGAGAGTAAAGTAATATTTGAAGAAAAATAGAAAATGAGAATCCCAATCCTTATGAGAAGCTTTGTCTTAACAAATTTTCATAGGCCTCATTAACACTTTTTGCCCTCCAACATGTAGGCACACATGTTGCATGTTCTTCATCCTCCTCTATATCATTACTAGCAGTAAGATAGCCAGCTTCTATGTCCCAGTCCAATCCTAAGCCAGCACCACACTTTTCAATTCCCTTTCCCTTTTTTTTAAGCCCTTTCCTCATCCCATGTATACCAATATCCTCCTCCGTATCATGCCTATCAGAATGTTGTTCCTGTACTCGATTGGTGGAATGGAAGGTTGACGGTTTAAAAAACTGGTGAAATGTAGTTTGTTGTATTTTTCGTGCATCGTGATATTTAGAAAGAGTTAGATAAGATTGGAAATAATAGGAATGAAATTTACTGGAGAAGTGCTAAATGAAGTTTATGAGAAGAAGATATGAATTCTAGAACAGAAAGATTCTAATTGACAGAAAGAGGTAAGTGTGTAATAGCAAGAGCCTGAAGGTAACATCCTAGCTCAAAGGTAAATTGTAAAGCAGTCTCACTGTTAATTAATAGCGATATCAGAGTGTTCTCATCATCACTTTCTTTATCGCTTTTATCAAGATTGTCTTTTGGATGAAGAAGCACACCTGCTGCCACGCCTTCTCGAACAATTGAAATAGCATCAGGAAGAACTAGTTACATACCGATACCATGCTCCTCCATATGATTCATACTTATAGTATCTCTAAAATAGGTATCAAAAAAGTCCTCAAAGTCTGATATACTATCAGGGTCAAGATTTTGTAAAGTGCTCCAAGCCTCATAGCATTCCCAGTGCTCTAAACTAATGAAGTCTTCAAGCGGACTCTGACTATTCTCCAAGCCAGTCATATTTGTAGTACTGGCTGGTCAATAGGATTCTGTTATTCCTGCTTTTACCCAACAATGGGCGATTGTTGCTGGTTTTACCGACTCCTAAGAATCCACGATTAGATTAATTGCTTGTAAAATATCTAATTTAGAAGATGCCTCGCCATGTTGATTGAAGTGTTGAACCATGGATTGAGCATAGCAGCAGTGGTAGGCAGCCTTAAAGGAGGCAATAATTCCAGCATCGAGGAGCTGTAGAAAAGCAGTGGTATTGGGAGGCAGATAGATAAGCATAATATTGGTAAGTATAGGAGGCGTTGGTTCTTTATATTCAATTGGTGGTGCAGTTGGAGGTGGATGTGTAGGACAGTTGTCAGTAATGAGGGCAATATGGTACTGTGATATGCGCATTTCCTTATTCAATCTACGCAGAAATTCATACCACAAGCGTGTTAAGAGCTATGCTTTTTTGTTATAACGATAGATTACTGGTAGGTTTGCGGAATTAACATGGTTTTGACGGAATGTATGTGGCCTTTCTGCATGTCCAATTACCTAAATCTTATTCTTATTGCCTCCAGTTTCATTTATGATATAAAAGGTTGTAATTCAGATTTTGTTATCCTTCTGACCTCTTAACTGCTTTCCCTTTTCCAGAAGTACATTAGAAGATTGTGGGCGTTTATTGAAAACTAGGCCACTTTCGTCACAGTTGTAGTAGTTCTTAGGAGAGAATTTAGCCAGTTGTTTTGCTAGGTGCCTCTGCTATGCTGGCAGAGCGGTTTGGTCAACCTCACCAGACTGGCCATGTGTACAAAGACAACCAAAGTTATGATGATTTTTGAACTGACTTAGCCATCCATTGGACATTTCGAATCTATCGTAAGGTTCGTCAACTCCTACTCTTTCTAGTTCTTCTTTGATAATTGTTGTTTGAGCTTTAATAATGTCGTTGATAACAGGAACCTTTGCATATTCTGCCACATCAATCGATAATGCTAGAAAGTGCTCCAGAAATGGGTATAAACTCGCTCTTTCTTTCTGTTTATTTCCTGTAGTTTCTATTATACATTATTTATTAGACTTATATAGAGTTTCTATCCAGAATCTATAATCAAACTTTACCAACTGGAGGTTCCTTTTGAAACTTTTCTCTCCATCCTTTGAGATGATTGGAAAGGTTTGAAATAGCAAGTGGGTTTCCATCAGGATGTCAGGGGCAATTATTGAGAAGAACAAAGTCTGCTAATTTCAAACGGGGATGCTTCGCACGAAGACAACAAAGTTGATATTTTTGCAATGCAGTTAAGCCAGCTTTTGTTGATTTGTTCGTTGACATGATTGCAGTGACAGTAAAAGTTTTATATGAAGTTTCCCTATGTTATCCTTGAACTAGTTTGTTCTCACTATGGTCATAGGATCCGGTTCAGCAGACTTGAATTCTGTAGGAACAAGGGGGTCAGATTTTCCAAATCTTATACGAATCCGAAACTCCTCTTTTCCGGTTCAACGGGGGTGTAACATGTTCGCAAGGTGCTAATCACTGTAACCGGTACGGGTACTCGGTTATTGGTTTGTTTTAAGTATCGTTTTGATACTTGATTTGTTTTATGTTTTGTTTTAAGTATCACTTTGATACTTGGTTTGTTTTAAAGTATCGTTTGATACTTGGTTTTGTTTTATGTTTTGTTTTAAGTATCGCTTTGATACTTGGTTTGTTTTAAGTATCGCTTTGATAGTTGGTTTGTTTAAAGTATCGTTTGATACTTGGTTTTGTTTTATGTTTCGTTTTAAGTATCGCTTTGATACTTAAGGAGTTTTACCAAAGTATCGATTGATACCTTTGATTAGTTGCGTTCATGCTAGACATGAACAGATTTGTGTATTTAAAGACCGCCTGTTTCTACGATAGAAAAGGCAGACTTCGACAGACAGTATTTCAATATACTTGGTTTAACAGTTACTTCTTTGTTCCCCAGTACACCCTCGAAGCCTCCTTTAGTTCTCAGCTCTCGCCTCCTCTCTGGAAGAGCAGGCCACCTGCCAACTATTGTATCTATTACTGATAACGTGAATAGCACCTTGCGAACACGTTACATTTTTTTAACCTCAGCAAGTGGTTAAGAACCTGTCCCCGGATTTAGGCCTGATTAACCTATCGATATCCACCTCAGAATTCTAGCGGAGAGAAGCGGCAGAATTAGAGTATATTCGGCTTCATCTCAAACCCAAGATAGAGTCTTTGACGACCAGGAGTGGGAAGCAAATCCCACGGCAAGACCTTCCAAGGAAGAAACAACCCTGGCGCTCTGCTAAAGAGCCGGGCGATCCTGCAAACACGGAAGATACAAAACCTCCAGGAGAATTCCCTTCTACTCCAGCAAAGAAGCCTTCCTTTGAACCTCCAAACGACCCCGAATCTAGTAGCGAATCAGATATGGCTAGCACAGGAGGAGGGCCTTCTGGAGGAGGGAAATCTCAGGCAAGGCCTGAAGAAGAGGAGGTACCCGCAGCATTTGAACCCCCTAAGTTTAAACTTCACCTCCCAGCAAAGTTCACAGGCGAAGGGAAAGATGTCAAACCTGAAGCCTTTGAACGATGGGCCACAGAACTCTCACACTTCCTACTCTTACAAGGAAAAGATGTGGAAGACCCTACAACCGGACTTATCATTGGATCATTCTGTGAAGGAAAGGCAACCGACGCATACCACCAATGCTATAAGGATTTCGGCGGGAATGTAAGATTAAGAGGATCTACAGTTCTCGATTACCTGAAAGGACGATTCCAATCCTCTATAACCAACGACCTCCTATATAACAAATTCAACCAGCTCCAGCAAGTTAACGGAACGCATGTCAAGCGCATCACCGATGTGGCTACGGACCTAATAATGTATAAGGACCGAATGGAGAGAGGAAGTATCTCCAAATACATCCTGAAGCGAGGATTCTATGACACCATGCACCCTACCCTCCGGCGAGAAGTAGAACCACTCGAGGAAGATGGCGATGATATTGCAGTAATAATTGCAAGAGCAGAATGAAAGGACGCCATTCTCCATGAGACCAAGGCCTATAAAATACAGACATCCTCTAGTAGGAACAGCCAGCCACGGCACAAAGCTTCCAGCAACTCTGAAGACGATACCCCACGGGTTTTCAAGAAGAAAACAAAATCCTCCAAAGAATCGAGACGGCAAAAAGGAGAATGTTTTGAATGTGGAAAAACAGGGCACATGGCAAAGAACTGTCCTACAAAGAAAGGAAAAGGAAAGGCAATTAAGCAAGAGGCATCGGCCAACAATGTTGAAAGCAATAACGCCCAATCCTGTGAATACGAAGAGATCCATATCGGATATATCGATGTGGAATACAATAGTGTTTGACCTCCAGCTACATTCAAAGCACACACCGCTCTAGAAGGTACCATCCTGATCAATGGCAAAAGGGCTCGAGTCCTATTCGACACTGGCGCGATTGGAAGAGATATGATCAGTAATGCCTTTGTCTCTGTCCATGGACTTCCCACTCGAGACCTTAACCAGCCCATACCAGTCAATATGGCAGTAAAAGGATCACGATCCACAAGCCATAAAACCTGTAGTGCGACCATTCGACTTGGTTCTGCAGTCCTACCCCCCCAGGAAATGCTGGTTGGAAATTTAGCCAAATATGATGCCCTAATAGGCATGCCATTCCTGAACCGCCACAAAGCTATAATCAGGTGTGGGGAATCAACTATCGATTTCCCAGATCAGAAGGTCAGAGTCTCATGCAAGCCAACAAGCGGAGAATACCGAGCCGCAGACTGTGAAACAACTGCCCTACGACTATTGGATT